TTCAACCTTTCAGGTATCACTTATTTCTCCATCCCCCCCCCCTCTCACTCTTTCTCTCCTTATCCATGTGTTGTATCATTTTGTAACTATAATATTGGTTTTTTCATCCTAAAATGATACAACCAACTCTTGAATTTTGATTGTACTGGATTGTTGTATTATTGAACCTTCTGTAACAGGGTTTCTAGGATTCAATACCATCAAGGTTTCTCTCTCTCTCTCTCTCTCTCTGTCTGTCTCTCTCTCTCTCTCTCTCAACCTACTGCCCTCCTGAAAATTTAGGGCTTAAACAAGCTCAAATTATTCCTCATTTGGCAGTTTTGCTTCCTTAAAGCTTGAATTATGGGAACATTGGTCAAATTGAGGCTATGGTATGAGAGTGGTTGTCTTCAAGGACTTTCGCCACTGCAGATCCATCTATGCAACACTATTATGGAGTTTCAATGGAATTGTATGAATTAGGGCTTTGAATCCTTTCTTAGGTATGAATCACTATAATTAATATATGCTTTCTTCACATCTAATCATACTTTTGGTCATTTTTCTGCCTCAAATCCTAATGGAAATGGGCAAACCATTCCATATTTCTCTATAAATAAAAAGAAGATGATCCATGTTTAATTAAGAGCACAGTTGCAACCAGATGGAATCTTTATCGTATCCTTAGGGTTTTTCTGTGAACATTAACCAATTACAATGCATCGTAACTTATAACAATCTATTTATTATGCACTCAAAATGTGCATGGAAGAATTTATATATAGGAAATATTGCATTTTTATTTGATTATTTAACATTATATTTGCTTGATCATGTCAATATCCAACAGATTGACTATAAATTGAATTTTATCTTAGTTTTCATTTCCATGTCCAGTCTGAAATTGTGCAAATATTTATTTGTTGGTGTAGATCATTCAGATCTTAAATTACAATGATGGTGTTGATGGAGAAAAAGGTGGTAATCATGCAGCTTCAATAGGGATCCAACTAAACCTCAACTTAGTGTTGTGCCTGTATGTGGTGATATAGGCGTTTGTGGGACTCTGAACAAATGACTTTGTTGAGATAAAGGTTTGTTCATTCAATACTTTCAATAATTTTCCTCATCTTTTGGTTCTTTCCATAAAGAGTTGTACATTATCAGCACACCGGTGAAAAATTAATTATTGTTGGACAATGGCAAGGCTATTGCAATTGAAGGTGGGTCACTTGACCCACCTAAACAAAAAAAATTGTGTTACAACTAATTAATAGAAAAAATTAAGACCTAGTTTGAAATTTGTAGATGACCAACCTTAATTTATTTGTCATGGACTTTTAGTCCATTTTTTGTATTTCAATGGTCTAATTTTAGTTTATTTCAAATAATTTCTACCAAAAATTAACCCAATACCTTTTAAAATTAAATAAAGAAAAAAAATACAAGCTGAATGTGAATTGTCCGTTCGTTTGTAGCAAATATGTATGACGCAATCACACAAATCGTAAGGAACGGCCGAAGACAGAAGTCACTCCTATTGATCACTCGATCAAGCCGCTTGTTCGCCTCACTCCAGTCGCCGACAACCTCACATTCACATTAGTCCCTGCCTGCAATCCACATTGCTTTCTTCTTCGCATCGAGTTTTAACTTTGAAGGTTCTCAATTGTGAGCTTGTGATTGATAATGATTGCCTTCTACGGTTTTACACTTCTTCGAATCTTCTTCATAGTTACGAATACATATAAAGAAATCAAAAGTTAAAGACATAATCAATTTAATACGTAATCTCTAATATTGACGCCAATGATAAGAACATTTATTTTCACTTCTGAACAATAGGTTTTGTGTGGTAGGTTTCACCACTTCTTGTGGTATGCTTTAATATGGATTGTCTTGAATTCAATCAATCGTGAAATTAATATAGTTTTATTTGATTGTTTTTGTTTCCCAACTTAGTGGATATTTTAGTGATATATATTGAAAAAGTGTTTTAGATAGTATTAGTAATGATACGATTGTGGATATATATCAAGATATATATCAAGATATTAGAACTTTTCGGGTGCAATTGTAATATCTTTAAAAAAAATGTTTATATGAATCTACCCATTACTAGTATTTTTTAGCTATGTCATTCCTATCGGGTTCACTTAAATAGTGACTCATGTAGGTTGTTGTTCTAGACTCGCCACTGTTGTTGGACCATCTGTGTTCAATTAAAAATGATATGGTTTCAAACTACTTTACCAAGATTCATGATTACAAGAAATGTTTTAGTCCATTCATTATTAAAATGGGCACATAGATTGCGGCTTTTGATTAAATTGTTGAGTAGAATACAATCATTTAATATGTGTGGTTGTTCAATTTGCAGATATACTTTCAGTTTTCTAATTTTTTTTAGGCTCTATATCTAATTACTTAGAAGATGGAGTGAATTTTATGTGAGGTGCAAACTGGGAGACATAGGCATCCAAAGGATCCATTAGGATGCTTTTACTACTGCTGCAACAAAATGAGTATATGGATGATAGATAATTTCTTTATACTCTTACTTTCTTTTTCTATGGATATGTAAGTTTTCCGACATACATGGATTTATATGGTATCGGAGCCGTTGGCTATGGGGGATTACCATGAATGATTGATATCATTTGTATGTGGTTGTAGAAATTTTTGATGAAGATGTGGAAATTTGACTAGCGTCAACCATCAGGTTTCAAATTACATATATGATAAATATATGTTTAGTTATGAAACTTCCTATTTTTGGATTATATTATTTAATATGATGTTTTTGGATATTTTGGTGCTTATATTTATGGTTTGTTTAGTAGCCTTGGGATGATCGTGGAGTTCTTTGAAGGCTAAGGGTATTTTGCTCAACCATGGCTACTACACCTTCAATAAGTTATCTTTTGAATTCCATATTTGACTTTAATAGAAAAAGTAGTCAACTACCTTTCTATTGGAGCAATATACTTTTAGGTTTTGGTTATTGGTTAAGAAAATGAGGGTACCCCCCCCCCCCTAATTGCGATAAAAATGTAATTGTTGTATTTATTATAAGTAACTAGATATTCAATATTATTTTCTCATTCTTTGTGAACCAGGTTAAGGCTTATTTGATCAATTCTTTTTCATAAAGTAAATAAGCGAACCATAAAAGTTAGGTGTTGTTTGTTTTTTTAAAAAAACCACTTCAAACCATTTATTGCTGCACCGCGCAGCACACGCGCAGCACTTGGCCATTCGCAGCTGTTTGTTTTTCAGAAGACTTCTGACTTAAAAACTGTTGCGCGTATGCTGCATGGCGCAGCACTAAACCAACTGCTTCAAACCTCTTCACACATTAGTTTAATTTACTGCAGCAGTCTGCAGACGTTAAAAAACAAACATATTTTTTATTACATGCTGCAGCCGTTTGTTCCTCCTCTTCTGCTACAGAGGATTGAAGAGGTGGTCCGTAGACTTCAAGCAATTTCTCTTCGAAAAAACAAACAACACCTTAATGTGGTTGAGGAATTATCATTGTAATTAACTAAAGTGGTTTAACAAAAATAATTCATATAAATAAACATGTAGGCCTCAATTTAAAAGGTGGTGTTTGCCTACTATTTTGAAAAAAATGTCTAAGAACATTTAACATACATAAATAATACAAATGTGTTAACATGCATAAACATAAATTAGTAACATCAAAAAATAATAAATATAAACATCCATCAAGTTTTAAAATAGTAGTTAGTTTAAATAGTATTAAAAACATGCATTGTTTATAAATTAGTAACATTATAAAAATAAATATAAACATCCATCACATTTTTAAATAGTAGTCAATTTAAATAGTATTAAAAACATGCATTATTTGTTGCTAGAAACAATGTATAATAGGTGGCTTGGAACCAATGCAAAAACTCATATCTAATCGGTTCCAAACTATAGGAAACGGAATCAGGATTGTTGATATCAGTTTTGGTACAAAAATTGTTGCTTTTTAACCAATTTTGATTCTAAACGGAGGTACCTCACTAATTGTAGCCTAGAATTATGCATTTTAACATAAAAATAATTTTAGGTACCAAAAATATAGGTAACACCATGAACGCCAATCACACCATTATAAAATAAAAAGAAATTGATATAAATCATAAATCTTAGTTGTTGTAACGAAATATTGGCTAAAAAGTTGATATCATTCAATGTTGGCAAATTAACTTGATTTTCTTTAAGGTTTACGAATGATAGTGAACCTTTTTATCTCTGGACGATCCTCCATTCTAAATGTCTAAATCCAAGAAGAGCGTCTACATTCACAAAAGTTTTCATCATGGAATATCTTCTTTGTAGATCTTGAGTTAGACATCAACAATTGAGTGGAAGAAGAAGAAGTAGTTATTGCAAGAGATCGAATATAGACGTCGTTCGTTTTTCTCTCTCTAAGCCCTAAATCGATATATAAAGGGTAATTTTGATATGTTTATTTCATGTCATTAAATATAATGTCATATCATTTGCCAACTAGTTGTATACCTAATGAATCTGGTTGCCTCTAATGAGAATTGAACAAAAGCGTAAGTCCGTTGGGTTTTTTTCAACAAACAAAACATGATTGTGATTTTTTGAATAGTTTTGAAACTTCGTTGGTCTTACAAGTCGTTTTCTAATATTTAATTACACATCATAAGCCATATCATTCGTTAATTTTCAATAGCCGGTTGACCTTAAATGAAATATGTAAGTTAGTTGAACTCTTTTAGACAAAAGGTTATTTTCGTTGAATTTTTTTAATAGAAAAAACATAATTAAAGTTTTTTAAACGGTTTAGAAACTTCATTGTTTATTATTTATTTTCCCATATGTTAATATAATTATAATGCTATTACATAGATATCTTAATGGATAAAAAGCAAAATATATTATTCGAGAATAAAGTACCTTCATATTATTGACAATTTGCCCCGTTTTATATAGTATCATAGTATAGGCTTTTCTTTTCGTCACTTTGGAAAAACCCTCCAGTAGAAGCAATGCATCTATGCACTCCTTTTTTACTCCCACAAAGTGAAAGCGACACACACACACACTCACCTCTATAAACTCCTTTACCAGTCACACCATCTGCAAACACTTTGCAGAAGCAACAATGGCGAAACCTTCTTATCCTCTCTTCATTCTACTCTGCATGTTCTTACGTTTCTTCATCACTTCATGTAATCTACAACGTCTTCAAATATCTCCATGTATAAAGCATAATCTTTAGTTGTTTTGCATATGTTTCACTGCTTTTGGTCTTTAATTGCAGATGGAGTTCAGTTGATTCTAGTCAACAACTGCAGGCAAAGCATATGGCCAGGTTTACAAGGCGGCGCAGGCCACCAGAGTCCCAAAGACGGTGGATTCCGATTGGGTGGTGCGGAGGAAGTAGTGGTTGATGTGCCGGATAAATGGTCAGGGAGAATATGGGCAAGGCAAGGTTGTGATTTTGACGGTAACGGTAAAGGTAGATGTGCCACCGGTGATTGTTCCGGGCAGTTACACTGCCAGGGTACAGGCGGTGAGCCACCAGCTACGGTGGTGGAAATGACATTAGGGTCTTCAAGCTCCCCCTTACACTTTTATGATGTGAGCTTGGTGGATGGATTTAACATTCCGGTTGCAATGGCGCCTGTTGGTGGTGGCGTAGGGTGTGGCAGGGCGTCATGTGAGGTTGATTTGAACGTGTGTTGTCCATCGGCGCTGGAAGTGAAGGCGGGAGGGCAAGTGGTGGGGTGTAAGAGTGCGTGTTTGGCAATGGCGTCTCCTAAGTATTGTTGTACAGGGGAGTATGCGAATCCAAAGACATGTAAACCTACGCTTTTTGCTAATTTGTTTAAAGCGATATGCCCTAAAGCGTATAGTTATGCTTTTGATGACTCTTCGAGTCTTAATAAGTGTCGGGCTTCACGATATGTGATCACATTTTGCCCACCGAAGTGACTTACTGATTTGTCTCGACTGTCGAATTGGGTGAGTCGTTTAGTTGCGGTCTTTTTTCCTTAGAGTTAATGATTCATGTGGGTATGTACGTCGTTTAATAGAACATGTACATTGTCGTATTTCAATATGCATTTAAATGAAGTAATGAGATTATATGTTTATTTATAATGGATCAAAACATTCGCCTCATAACTCACTTCTTTCTATAAATAAAGACATTCCTTCGAATACTGACCCAGATCCAGAAGAAAAAAAAAAAAGAGTTAGGGTAGTTAATTTAGTATTTGTTGAATAAAATATCGTATTTACTCAAATTTATTTTTAAAACATTTTAGAATCTTATTTTTATATTCTAAAATCATTATAACTTATTAATGAACAGTTTGACCATATTACACTTCAATGTTATGTCTACTAGCTAGATGTTCATGAAGATAAAAAGCAAACTTATCAAATACAAGAAATTATACATGCGACAAGATAAAGAAGAAATACTTCAAATGCAATTCTTTGCTCCGTAACATTCAATAATATTGCCTAGCTCTTCCATAGTAAAGGGAAATTTCCACTGTGCAATTTTTTTATCCTTTTTACCGTATTGAAGAAAAAATAAATCGCAAAAAAAATAAAATAAATTACCGTATTTAATAATATTGCCTAGCTCGGAATTATAAAACAAATTGTACTTTTACCGAAGAAAAAATAAAATTTTACAATTAGTTTATATTTTTTTTACGTTTTTATTTTACGTTAACTATTTTTTATTTATTTAAAAATATGTTTTTGTACAATACGCTATTATGTTGTTATAATCTTATACTATATTTTTATGTTACGTTAACGTCTTTAATTGGTTTAAAGCAAAACTACAAGTATTTTTTTGCGTAAAAATATTAAGAACATGATAACATAACGTAAAAAAATACTTGAATATTCGCTTTAAATCAACTAAAGATGTTAAGATAACGTAAAAATATATTTTATGATTTTAACAACGTAATAATATATTATATAAAAATGTATTTTTTAAATACATAAAAAAAACATAATCCACACACATATATATATATATATATATATATATATATATATATATATATATATATAAAAGAAAATTACACATTTTTAAGATTACGTTTTTTTTATAATATGTTATTACGTTTTTTTATGTATTTAAATATTACTAAAAAATGTGTAACTTTTTTTTGTATATATTTATTTTACGTGAAGTATGTTTTTTATGTATTTAAAAAATACATTTTCATATAATACGTTATTACGTCGTTAAAATCATAAAATATACTTTTACGTTATCTTAACATCTTTAATTGATTTAAAGTGAATATTCAAGTATTTTTTTTTTTACGTTATGTTTTCATGTTTTTAATGTTTTTACGTAAAAAAAAAATACTTGTAGTTTTGCTTTAAACCAATTAAAAACGTTAACATAACGTAAAAGTATACTATAAGATTATAACAACATAATAACGTATTTTACAAAACCGTATTTTTTAAATACGTAAAAAAATTATTTTACATAAAATAAAAACGTAAAAAAACATATAAACTAATTGTAAAAATTTATTTTTTCTTCAATACGTAAAAGTACAATTTGTTTTATTTAAAAAAATTATGTAAAAAAAATGTAATTTATTTTGTTATTTATCTTTTTTTTTTTTTTTGCGATTTTACATAATGTAATTTATTTTTCGGAAATATAAATCAAGTTTTGTTGCAGCTTATTGGTATAAGGCATAGGTTGGTTTGGGATTAGGGGGAGGTCCCAAGTTCGAATCCTCCTCCACTCATATAAATTATTTTTAGAAGAATTACAAAAATGGTCCTTATGGTTTACCAAGTGTCACAAATTCAGTCCTTTTATACTTGAAAAGACGAAAATGCCCTTACGAATTCAGTCCCTAACGGCTGAATACTAACGACGTTAGTAAAAAGGGCCATCCGTGCAAGTTTTTCAAACCACAAGGACCATTTACATCAAAAAAAATTAATAAGGACTGACTTTGTGACTTTTGGCAAACCATAGGGACCATTTTTGTAATTTTGTCTATGATATTTTAAAAGCTTACTAATGGTAAATATAATATATAAAAATTATGTTATGATATTTTGATGTTTATAAAGGATATATATGAAATTCTCCTTTTATAATAAGACAATGTATTCCTTTTTATTGATCAATTAATCATCCTACATCAAGACACAGATACATATATACAAAGTTTTAGTAACTTCCATATGACAGTTACTTGCCAAACGATACAACTGTTAACCCACTTTTACAAATATTAGAAATGACTCAAGACAGCGATTTGAGGTTCCTTGATACAAAGAGTTGTGGGATTTGAATCATGGGGGAGATAGTATTCGACTCGAAGCATGAGTTTAATCCAATTGATTGAAATTCATCACAATTTCACCATTAGATCCACAGATCCCGTCATGAATTAATTGGTTCCTCTGAATCTCATATGTGTCTTAGTTAATTGAAATTCATCTCAACTCACTACGAGGCCCACTGCAAGATCCGATTAGGAATTAATTGGATTTTTAAGGTCCATCTCGGTTTTGATTGAAATAGGTTTGCAATTAGTTTTATAGGATCTGAACACCACTGCAAGATCCGATTATGAATTTATTTGAAGCGGTTATACCTTTAAAGATTTTGTTCATTCTTACGAATTCTTTCTTATTATGAGTTTTATTCTATTGAAATCCATGTATAATGGCAAAGTAAATACAACCAATTATATATGTTTATACATATATACATAAAGAGAATGCTTGATATTAGAAATGAAATGATTTTAGAAAAGACAGTGATGGCGTCGGGTGGATGTGGGTGGCCCGTGGCCGATAGTGTTAGGGAAGGCTCAACACTTCTTCTCAAAACCCCGGCACCAGTGAATGTTTTATTAGACTTTTGGTCTTAAGAATATCAATATAGATTTGGATTTTTTTTAGGATCATAATTGCAATCATTTTCTAAAATCGATTATTTTGACACCTATGCTTGGGGATAATCCAAGAGAGATAATTTAGAGTCAAGTCACTTCCAAATCCGAAACATAGAATTACCTTGTTTTGCTGTTTTGAAAGATAAAGAGAATCTGATGATCAAATCCAAGTATATATATAGAGAATCTAACTCTTTTTTGGAACTAAGTTCTTATACAAGGTAGAAAATATTTAAATAGTCGTTATATGTACTTTTGCAACAAAATGATAGTTAGAAATATGGTTATAAGACATTTGAATCTTACATCAAATCCATTGGCACATTTTTTTATGTAGTGGCACAATAGTAAAAAAAATAAAAAATACTAAAAATTTTACAGTGCATCCGAAAAAAACATGGGTTGCCGGTGCCACTATAAGCACCATTGTGGATCCGCCACTGTTCTCTAGTCTACACGTTGAAAAAAAAAAAAAAATCATGCTCAATTAGTTTTTAACTACTTTTCCCTGTCTTTATCATGAAAAGGTAGTAGTGTTAAAAAATCATGTTCAATTAGTTTTGAACTATTTTTCCCTGTTTTTATCATGAAAAAGTAGTGGTATTCTATGACAAGGATAAACGGCAACACATGTATCAGATTGTAAATCACAATATCCCATAGTTGCAAACAAGGTAATATCTAATGTTGTTTGAATTCTCTTGAGATATCAACTCAAGCAAAGTGAACATGTTCCAAAATACTATATATATATACATCACCAATCTCCAAGAAACTTACTTGTGTTGCTAAATTTATTTATTGATTCAAACATCTAACAATCAACAAATCACTTCATATGCCATTCAAACAAAACCACCTCACCTTCACCTACCTGTTGACTGTTGAAGTCATTTTTCACCAGCTAATCCCTGGTCATCATTCTCCACAAACCCTTCCTTAAACCTATCATAATTCGTAGGTTCACTACTCTGAAAAGGCCGTTCACCAAGTATATGAACCAAATCCTCCTGATGCAACACTTCCTTTTCAAGCAACTGTTCTGCAAGCTGAGCCACTTGCTCTTTATGCTCCTCAATCAGTTGCAGTGTTCGTGAGTACGCTTTCGCAACCCATTCTCTCACCTCATTGTCTATTATCGCAGCTGTTTTGCTGCTGTAAGGCTTTGTCACCTCAAATGCATTATCATTTTGTGGAAAAGATAAAAGACCTACTTTCTCACTAAATCCATACACAGCCACTTGCGCATACGTCATCTTTGTTACCTTTTCCAAATCATTCTGAGCTCCCGTTGAAATCTTCCCAATCAAAACCTGCTCAGCTGCTCGACCTCCAAGTGTCATACAAGTCAAATCAAAAAGCTGTTCTTTAGTCATCAACAAGTTCTCATTAGGAACATACTGAGCAAAACCAAGAGCAGCAGTTCCTCTAGGAACAATAGTCACTTTAAGCAACGGTTCAGCATGTTCTAGAAACCATCCAGCAACCGCATGCCCAGACTCATGATACGCAACTGTCCTCCTTTCCAACTTACTTATCACCTGTCAAAACTCAAAAAAAACAATAATTCCAATTTTTCATTCAAAAAAAAAAAAAAAAAAAAACATACCCTGTTTTTCTTCTCCAAACCTCCAATAACCCTATCGATAGCCGCCTCAAAATGTTCCATAGTAATGACACCGCTCTCACACCTCGCAGCAATCAGCGCGGCTTCATTACATACATTCGCGATATCCGCTCCCGCAAATCCAGGTGTCAGCGCCGCAAGCCTTTTTGAATATTTTTCAGGGTCTTCGTCGAGCTTCAGCTTACAAAGATAAATTTTGAAAATTTGTCCGCGCCCTTTAATATCCGGTTTATCAATCGAAATTTGTCGATCAAATCTCCCGGGTCTCAACAAAGCTTTATCCAAAATATCGGGTCTATTTGTTCCCGCAAGTACAACAACTCCTGAAGTCGTACCGAATCCATCCATTTCAACTAATAACTGATTCAACGTGCTTTCGCGTTCATCGTTTCCACCTGAAAACCCACCACGACCACGTGCGCGTCCGATCGCGTCTATCTCATCGATGAAGATTATACTTGGTGCACACTGTCTTGCTTCTTGGAACAAACTGCGGACCCTTGCGGGTCCCACGCCGACAAACATTTCCATGAAGTCGGAACCGGAGATGGATAGGAAAGGAACGTCGGATTCACCCGCGGTTGCTTTAGCGAGAAGGGTTTTCCCGGTTCCCGGGGGGCCCACGAGAAGCGCGCCTTTTGGGATTTTCGCTCCTAATTCTTCGTATTTTTTAGGGTTTTTTAAGAAATGGACGAATTCCATGATTTCTTGTTTTGCTTCGTCGCAACCGGCTACGTCTTTGAAGTATACTTTGTTTTTGGAATTTTTATCAAGCTTTGTGACTTGTGCTTTGCCAATGTTGAAAATCCCACGTGCACCTTTTCCACCGGATCCAACATTGATTTGCATTCTTTTTAACATGAAATATAATGTTCCTAGGAGTAATAATGTTGGAGTAAGCCGGATTAGTTCTTGGATCCAATTTGTTTCTGAAGAATATGTGACAGGAATATAATTATGAGGGTCGATTCCCAATGCCTCCTGAGCTTCCTCGAGTTTCTCTTCGAATGTATCCACACTTCCAATATTGAAATAGTATTTGTAGTGGCTCACGTTTCGTCTGGGCCCCACATCGCTACTGTTGGGACCCCGGACACCTTCTTCACTGCTTTGGATTGTATTGGGCAGTGAGGTCTTTACATAAACTTTAGCAACAGATTTGTTGGTGACAACAATGTGGTCGACTAGACCAGGTTCTAGAAGCTTGTTTTTGAACTCCTGAAAACTTATCTGAAAATGAGGGAACATAAATCCAATCAACCAGGTTAATGACCATTGTTCCCATGTATAAGAAAAGAGAAAGCAAAGAGCATGTTTTAGAAAGAAAAGTAGTAAGAAAGAGTACCTGTTTTTGTTCCTGAGGAGCTAAAAAGATTGATGATAACACAAAAGCGAAAAACATCAAAGGTGAGATTAAACTCTGATATTGCTTCATCAGGTTCTCTCGATTGTCACCTTTACCAGAGTCCTCTCCTACATATACCACATTACTTGATGTCAATTTCTCAAGGTCCATACTACATGCTTTTAATATAATTTACTTTTTTCTAAATAAAGAAAATGCCAAATAACTACTTTGCAGTTTCTCAAGGTCCAAAAACAACTTGATATTTCTAACAGTTGAAGATGGGGTATTTAACACTGATGTTGTTTGTAGCTAATTGATAATACATATGGCATACCTTTAGAGCCCGATTTTTGTCCTTCTCCCTTTGGCACCTCTCTCTTTCCCTTTGGATAATAGTTTTCATAGTCTATGTGTATTCATCACAAAGATCAAATAGTCATAACCAGAACAAACAGAAAATGGAGAAATGAAATATGTGACTAAAGAACTTTTAGACTTCAATTTTCCGTATCATTATGCATAAATACAAAAAGTTGCACCAGAAGGGAAAAAGGTGATAACTTTGATCTTATAAAATGATAAATTTCATGTTAAATGCATACAAACAACATGTCTTCTGTTCGATTGAAGTGAATGAACCATCTTTCTAATAAATTGAAGTGAATGATGTTAACCATATGCTTGAAGTTCTCAAAATTGAAATAAGACTTTTTTTCCTTTTGTGAGTAGAAAGGTAAATAACCATAAAACAGGAGTAACAATTAATTTGAGGAACAAAACGGTTTTATTTTCCCTTACTTTTCCTCTTTGGTGCCTCGCTGCAGAACAGCCTTCGTAACCCTAGGTTTTTTGCAAAGAATTGAACTTCAGAAGCATCTATTTTGGGCTTAATAATCTGCCCCTTTGCACAAATTGAGGTCAAGTAGCTCCTTACGAGCCCTGCTCCGCCATCGAAGCGTGCGATGCTCGCATTTGCTGATGGTTCGCTTGAAATCAATCCCCTCACATTCTGCAATGAGGATTCATATCAAAAATTAACACTATTGTTTTTTTGTAATAATAGAACTTAATATTATAAACATGGAAGAGAGGATTACACGTTGGAACGTAGAGTGAGAGGAACGGGAGAGGTATCGTGAAATGCGTGTGAAAATCATTGTCTGGATGATCTGGACATGGATTGAAACCCTAGAAGAATCGAAATTTTGGTTGGTTTAAATTCAACCTAAAGCTGAAACGCAAGGGGAAGGATGGATGTTCACCGAGAAGAGAGAAAGAACTGAGGAGCAATTCCGTTATCATGGCCAAAATGCCCAAAATCAATTATCGTTCTGGTTGCTTCCATTGATTCCATTTGTAATTTTTCTTGAAAAATATTTTAAATAAAAAAACTAACAAAAAATGATAACTTATTTATTATATAAATTGGGAATAGGATTAATTAAGGTAATTAACTTTTCAGTTTGTTTATATGTAGGTAATTATCTTTTTTTTTTGTACACATCTAGGTAACAATTTTTTTTGGAATACATATGGTTATAGTAGGTCATAATGGTTACATGTGAACACTTTCAACAAGTTCGTTACCTACATTTGTAAAAAAAAATAGTTACCAAAATATGAACAAAACCAAAAGTAAGAGTAATTACACGAATGGTCCCTGTGGTTTGGGGAAATTTGTACTTTTGGTTCCTAACTTATTTTTTTTATTCGGATGGTGTCTATTATTTATTTTTTGTTGCGTTTTGTCCATGTCTTACCTAAAAAGACTATTGTGCTCTTATTAATTTAATTTTTTTAATTATTTTTTTTATTTATGTAAATTTTTATATGTTTAAAAAAACAAATAGATCCTACATATCTGTATCTCCTCATCATCCCATCTCTCATCATCCTCAACTTTTATTTCTTTTCCACCTTTAATGACATCGACGTCTTCACCATTCATTCTTTTTCGGTGTTTGTTCGCCAGAGTTGAAGTACCAAAAAAAAAGGATGGTGAAGACTTTCATATCACTAAAGATGCAAATATAATAGAAGTTGAAGATGATGAGAGAGGGATGGTGACCGGTGCGACCCAGATTAAATTTCTTAAATGTGGTTTAAGGTTTACGGTGAGGAGTTACAGATATGTGGGGTCTATTAATTTTTTTAAACATATAAAAATAAATACATAAATAAGAAAATTAACTAAAAAAATAAATTAATAATGTCACGCTAGTCTTTTTAGGTAAGACAGAGACTAAGTGCACAACAAAAATAAACAGTAGAGACCATCCGAGTTAAAAGAATAAGTTAGGGACCAAACTCACCAATTCTCCCAAACCATAGTGTAACGCCCGTAGATCAGGGCTAGTCAATTTAGAAACAATAAGCGTCAAAAATGACTTTTTTATAGAAGATTATTTAGGATGAATAATCCTAACTAAGTTGTAGTATATGTTACAAGGTTTCCGTGCATATAAAGAACGCAAAAATCCGAGTTATAACGAAGAAGTTATGACTTGTTAAAGTTTCGCGACAGAACCGGCACAACGCTGAATGATGTAAAAAGTGAATTTACGTTAGAGTGATATTTAGCCTTAGCGATCTAAACGAGAATCGAAGATCTCGTTGTTAGTAGCGAAACGACGAAAAGTTAGGCAAGAACGGACGTCGGACGAAGAAGTTATGAATTTATAACGAAATTTTCTGTCCCAACCTTTTAAATATAAATAATAAAAATAAAAGTCAAAATTAGCCAACGGAATCTAAACGAAAGTTGTAGAGCATAGTCTCACCTTCGCGTGGATATAAAGAACGTCGAAAATGGAGCTCGTATGAAGGAGATATGAATTTCCGAAGTTTATTAAATAATTAATAATTAAAATTAATTATTAAACCCCGGCATTATCCGAAGAGGAGTCAGCGGTCCGATCCGAAGTACGCCCCGCGTACAGCGAAGATGTCGACACTCGCACTCGAGGACTTCGGATGACAAACGCAGTGACGATTTCGGACCAGTACGCCCCGCGTACTCCGAGGCTCCAGCCTCCTATAAATAGGATGCGAGGGCAGCCGGCTTCTTTGCTATTTTTCTCCATTCTCTCTCCCGTTTTGCATCGTTTTGCATGCCAAAAAATACCCCGAAGCTCCGGTAATATTCCCGAGTCCCGAAGCAAGTCCCGAGATCCCGAAGATCCCGAGAGGTGCGGTTTCCGAGCCAAAGCTCTGCCCGCAAGAAGTTCGATTTTTGTAGAGATCTTCCAGATCTGCTGAGGATTTCTACTTTTACAAGTCGTAGTGCTGTCTGATCATCTTCTGATCAAGTGAGTGTATACTACCTTTCATAAACACGATAATAATACAAGTATGGTTTGAGTGTATTAAGTTATTGTTGTTTATATGTGTGAGTGTGTAGTTACTTTCTTATAACACATAAATATGACATATTTGCTATGAAATACGTGCTATGTGTTTATATGTTATTTGTCTATTTGAGATGGGCATGGAAATTGGAGTTTTATACAGATGTTAAATGATTTAAACTGTGTAAGTATTTATATCTACAAAATTGTTGGGTAGAACATAGGTAGATGGAATAGTTGGTGACTATGGAGTTAGCGCCTATTGTATAAACCTTGGCGACTATGGAGTTAGCGCACGTTGAGTAAACCTTGGCGACTATGGAGCTAGCGAACGTTGAGTAAACTTTGGCAACTATGGAGTTAGCGCTTGTTGAGTAAACCTTTGCGACTATGGAGTTAGCGCTTGTTAAGTGAACCTTGGTGACTATGGAGTTAGCGCCAGATAACTATGGATTTAGTACTTGATAAATAAGCTTTGGCAGCAATGGAATTCGTGCCAAATTCCTTACGAATAAATGAATGAAGGATAGTTGGTTCTTAGGGTAAAACCTTAAGAAGATAATGGGGATGGGTAATTGGGTTGATTGTTTGCTGGTTAAATATAATAATTATATTATTGTGGGTTGAAAACCCTATATGCTCACCAGGCTCCCAAGCCTGACCCACTTAGTTTTCTTTACATTACAGGTGATGGCACAAGAGTATAAGTTGGTGGACTTGACGAGAGATTTTGGATTATAGATCAGTAGTCATAAATAACTGTTGTAAGATTTATTTTATATTGTTTATGCTTTTGGTCTGTATCGAACATGACATCCCAAGGTTTTATTATTTAATGAAAATACATTCTCTTTGAGAAATGTTTTGATAAATTTTATCATATTTTATTTTGGGAACAAATTCTGCAACTCTTTTAATCAAAAGATTACTCTGATTTTATAAAACAAAGCATAAACAAATCGGTCTTTTCTGGCCGTGATTTTGGGGATGTCACACATAGGGACCACTCGTATAATTTACTCTTACTTTTGGTTTTGTTCATATTTGGGTAACTATTTTTTTGTACACATCTTAGTAACGAACTTGTTGAAAGTGTTTACATATAATCATTATGACCTGTTGTAGTTGGATGTAACTTGCTACAGCAAGTCATAATGGTCATATGTGAACAGTTCCAAAAAGTTTGTTATCTAGATGTATACAAAAAAAAAGATAGTTACCTATATGTGAAAAACCCGAAAAGTTAATTACCTTAATAAGTCATATTCTCATATAAATTAGGTGTGAGACTCATATACATTTAAAATAAAATTAAATAGCAAGACCTAAACATTCAGGAACATTCAGGATTTTTCAAATAAATTGTAGAAACTAAATACATTTGATCCATAACATATAAGTATTTTACGGTAAAACTGAAAATAGGTAAGGCATCCAACTTTTGTTCCAAGGTTCAAGTAACCACAACACTTTCCAAACAAATATTATTACGCACATAAGTGAAACAACATTTATATGATCATGAGAAAAATGTAAAGCTATAAATAAAAGTATAATGTTGTAATAAAAATAAATGTAATTAGGATAATATAGTATGTAGATTCTATAAAGTATAATATGTTAATAATAAAAAAACTATAATGATATAAATGAATATTTCAACAATTTGGATTATTTGAAATCATTTGGATTACATCCAAAGTTATTTAAAATGATTTTAACTCATGTGGAGTACAAACACTAAATATTATATAGACCTGATGCCCGGGTACTATTAGGTCAGGTTTAGGGAGGAGGACGTGGAGAATACCGCGTTTCAAACTCGTTATGGACATTATGAGTTCATGGTGATTCCGTTTGGGCTCACCAACACATCAACGATATTAATGGATCTAATGAATCGAGTCTGCAGACCTATGCTCGATCGCTCGGTCGTTGTGTTCATAAACGATATCTTGGTATACTCCAAGACCCGAGAGTAGCATGAAGAGAATCTTCGGGAGCTATTAGGAGTTTTGAGGCGAGAACGACTTTATGCTAAGTTCTTGAAGTGCGATTTTTGGTTACGCGAGGTTCAGTTCCTTAGACATCTCATTAACCAGGAGGAGATTTTGGTCGACCCGGCCAAAATCGATGCGGTTATGCGGTGGGAGGTTCCGAAATCTCCCTTGAATATCAGGAGCTTCTTGGGATTGGCAGGGTACTACCGGAGAATCATACATGATTTCTCCAAGACTGGAGTACCCCTCACTCGTCTGACGAGGAAGGGGTGGATTTTCGGTAGGGCCCCGAGCAGCAGAGGGCGTTTTAGACACTCAGACAGCGACTTTTTGAGGCTCTAGTCTTGACTCTCCCGAAGGGAGTTAAGGGTTTTGTAGTGTTTTGTGGTGCATCATCACGGGACTAGGAGCAGTCCTAATGTAGAGAGGACGGGTGATAACCTACGCGTCGCGGCAGCTGAAGCCGCACGATACGAGAGACCCTACTCACGATCTAGAGTTGGGAGCGGTGATATTCGCTCTCAAGATTTGGAGACATTACCTCTATAGGGTCTGTTGTACCATATACACGGACCACAAGAGTTTGAGACATATCATGGATCAACCGAACCTGAACATGAGACATCACAGGTGGCTGTATGTAGTCAAGGACTACAACTGTGAGATCCTTTACCACCCAGGTAAAGCGAACGTGGTTGCGGATGCTCTGAGCTGCAATTCAGTTGGATCTTCTACTCCAGTGACATGTATGAGGATATCGGTTGATTCTCCAATTGTGAGCTTGATCAGGGAAGCTCAAGCTAAGGGTATGCTTCAGGAGAATTTGAAGCTTGAGAAGATTAGGGGTGAGAACACCTGATTTGTGCAGGATAACCATGGATTATTGACTCGTTATGCCCGGGTCTGGGTTCTGATGTCTGGTGGGGTCAGATAGATTGTTCTAGAGGAGGCTCATAAGTCTCATTTCTCTATTCACCTGGGGACCACCAAGATGTACC